ACCTTCAGAAAATTTCTGTAATAGACAAGCATTATCAACTTCTAAGACCAGTGGCGGCCAGCAGCTCTTTATACTTACAAATTCCAAGGAACAGAGCTTTTCCTAGAGAAACTAATAGCCACTCAGCCTGTCAAGATATTCTTTGTTTATGGAAATGAACATTCATTTCCATGTTCACAAGAGCCTGCCACTGGGCCCTAATCTGAGCCAGTAGAATCCAGCCACACCCTTGCATCTTATTTCCCCAACTTCATTTTAAGACTGTGTTCCTATCTGTGTCTAGTGCTCCCAAGTGATTTTTTCTATTTAAGGTTTAATGACAATAATCTTGTATGTGTTTTTCATTCTTTCCATATGTACTATTTGCCTCATACAGCCCATCCTCCCTGGCTTGATCAGCTAGCAATACATGCTGAAGAGTATAAAGTATGAAGTTCCTCATTTTCCAGTTGTTTCCAGCCTCTTGTTTCATCATTTTAGGTCCAAATATTCTCCTCAACATCCTGTTTTCAAATACCCCAAGTTCCTTAACATGATAGAGAATCTACACAGCCACACAAAATAATAGGTAAAATTATAATTTTGTGTACTTTACATTTTAAGATAAATATGTGGGAAGTAATTATTCTGAAATAAATACTAGGAAGCGTTCCTTTGATTTAACTTGATCTTAATTTCTTTGTGAATATAAGTTTGATTTGTTACTGTTGTATGAAAATATTTGAACTTCTACATTTTCAAACGGGTTACTTACACTTGTACAGATGCGTTTTGTACTAATTTTATTTTGATTTTGAGTGGTAGTGGATGATATCTAGTCTCATGGCCCTGTTGCTATATGTGTTAAAGATATGTAATATCATTTATATCTAAAAGAAACACACAAACACACACACATAGTTAAATGATATGGTGAGTGGCGATTCATTTTTTTAGGCACTGATTCCCCATATTAATAACTATGAAACTTGTAACAGTGTATGTAAGTATGCAGGAAGTAACACATTTATTGATTGCCAATCATCTAGGTATCCAGAAAATAGTAGTCCATGTGAGCAATTAAAATGCTAGTTTCAGTATATGGAGTCTGACTGTCTTGGATATACTATGTATGAGGAATTATATAGAATAAATGCACAATTAACATACATTATCTATAATTAAATAGTGAAATATAATTTCACATGAGTACTTTTCAAGAATCCTACTAATGATTCAAAACATACTCCATTAATTAAAAGATAAGGTAATAAGCTTTTCCTGGAATAATGTGTAGGATCATAAGGTGCAGTTTCATAATTTTTACAGTTTCAGAGATGTGCTTGAACTTAAATATACCTTCTATTCTTAATTTTTTCATAATTATATTCATAATAAATTAGCTGTTTTAAATGAAGTAATAACTTTTTAAAGATGTTTTCAGAATTTTTAATTTGATGTTCTCATTACAGTGACTATGATGAATGTTATTTTCATGGATGTGAAATGATATAATCTGGTATAAGTTTACCTACATTTCAGAGGATTGTACTGTTTCCATGTTCAGTGTTGAGGAGTAATGTAAGCAAGTAATCAACAAAGCATATGGCTTGCTGTGCTTGCTGCTTGCTTGGCTTACACTTCATCCCTGGAGGTGGAGGCAGTATGAACCTCCAAAGCAGTAACCTACCAGACCACATAATGACATCCCAGGAGATAGCAGTATTCTTCATACTTTCATGTGTATTCCATGGTTTGTCAAAAGCCAAATGATGTTTGCTCAAGCTCGTTGTATTACTTTTTAACCCTTCAGCGTGGTTTGCTGTACACTGTATGCCAAGCTGTAAGCTTAACATTATGTTACTGTTTTAATATTCGTTAGTGTCATAACAGTGGAAATAAGATAAAATTAAATAATCTTTAGTTCATAAATTGCAGTCACTACATTTAAACACAGAGTGTGTATCTTTCATGTACATGATGCACAGCCAAAGCCTATGAACAAAATACCACATGATATTCTGATAACAACCATGATGGAAATGCCAATTGAAATTAGATATTTAGAGCAGTATGTTTTGACTGTAGTTAAATTAATCATTTCCTTGATGAAATTTTACATTTGAAAATTATAACATTGATAACTTGTTTTCAAAATGAGTATGTAAGACAGTTTTAGGTTTAAGAAGTTTTGTAGTCCATAAGGAAGGGAACTGAGTGAAATATTATTTGTTGTTTATATATATATTTATTTATTTATTTATTCACTTCACATCCATGGATCATTATACATGACATAGGACAAGGACATAGAAGTGCACAAATGATTGCTGTATTTCTCAACAGTGCATGTGTATTGATATGCAAAGGCTAATTATTAATTGCTGTCCTGTACTTCTTGGGGAATTAATTTTGCACATTCATAAATTAGATCATAGCATGTAGTCACAATGTATGTGTAGTAATCCAGTAGCATACAGGCACACAATTCTAAATTCTTGCTTTTTAACACCATTGATTCAACTCATAGAGTTGATGGAAAGAATAAGGAATGATTAGAATTCTATTATAAATTTGTTTTAATTAATTAATGTTCAGGATTTTTATTTTTAGCATCTTGATTATTCAGTCTATTTTAAAGGAGATAAAAATGTTGAAAAAATGTTGTCTAGCAACAATGATTTTAAATCTTAACTTGGCTTCTTGCAAGAAGTTGAGTACAATTGTTTGCTTGTAATGAATATTAAGAAGAATAATAGGTCCAAATGACAAAGATCACATTTATGTTCCCCAGATTAGAATATTTCTTTCTGTTATTTTTAATAAGGGTATAATAAACTCATAATATTGAACAGAACATCTATATCAAACATGAGTCAATATTATTGTATATATATTATGATTATATTTTATTGTACATTTTTCTGTTATAAATTTTTACTATAATCATTCATGTAGAATGATCAAAATTAATGTAATTAACTGAGTTTGTGAAGGTGCTACAATTTAAACAAGTTATATGACCAAGGAAGGGGCACACTGTAGTCTAGTTGGTTGAAGTCCTATGCTACAAACTAGAAGGTCGTGGTTTTGATATGCGTTAAGGTCATTGGATTTTTCAATTGACTTAATCCTTTCAACTGCACTATGGCCCTGGGGTTGACGCAGCCTCTAACAGAAATGAGTAACAGAAATCTTCCTAAGTGTAAAAGGCAGCCAGTGTCTAAGGCTGATAACCTCACTGACATCTGTGAGCAATTTGTCTAGAAAAGATAGGAGCTTCCACAGCCTGTTACGGTGAAATTTTCTTTTATATATATACTATATATGACAAAAGAAAGGTCATACTTGCTCTGGCACGCCACTGTTATGCAGACTGAGGAGAATGCTGAAAGCAAAACCTATATTTCATACATATTGATCTAATGAATAATGACTTCAGTTAGTGATCAATATTCCTCTCTTCCATTAGGTTAATTTAGCTTATAATAAGCCCATGTTCAGGCCATTTCCATTGACTCTGAGAGCCCTATGTTTTGGATTAGCTTAAATTTCAAGCATATGATTTTCTTTTAACATGGATGATCTACTTAGATAAAATAAATGCAATATAAAATACAAAGGACAATTTCTGCAGTTCCTTCTCCTTCACATCCCTTCTGTGCAATACAAACTGGAGCATGAAACAGAAATAGACCAGCCTGAGTGGAATAGTTCCTCATAAGCAAACTCAGCATTTCCAATTATACCCAACTACAGCTAAGAAAATACAGGTGAATAAATAGTAGAGCATTGTTATGCATTATTTGCATAGAATACTTAAAATGGCCATATAATAGAGAGCTTCAGTGTGTTTAACTACATGCATGTTTAGTCTTATTAATTCTCAGTGGATTTTGATGAAATTTTGTGTTTAGTGTCTACATTAATTTGTTAGACATATAATTTTATGATAGATTCGAGGTTCTCAGAGCAGTTGCTATGAAGACTTGTATCTTCTGTGATACGTCATATAGTCCAGTGAAAGTCAACGAAGATATAGAGGAACATATCACCCCTGTTTTGAGGATTAAAGAGTAAGCTAATGAAGAAACCAGGATGAAGCAGGCAGCAAGCAGAGCAAGATGGAAGACACACCCTTCCCGTAAATATTGATTGACTTTCATTTGACTAAACAGTGTTATATTTCAGAAGATAGAAAATTCTGAATATAATTTTAATTTGTATCAGCCTAGGTTAGCTAGTTAGGTTACCTGAAGCTGAACTTGAACCTGTCAGTTAAATGCAACAGTGTACAAAGAATGTACTTTAAAAGAAATATATACCTCATTAAGGTCTACAACAGTTGTTTAAGAATTTTTTTGATATTGAACATATTACAATGTGAGGAAAAATAATTTCTCATTTTTATACAATGTATTTGTTGTGTGATTAATTGTGCAACAGTAGATTTTTGTCTGCAATAAATGCACTTGAAGGGCAATGATGTATGCAAAATTATCACAGAACACTTTAGAAGACCATATTTGAGAGTTCTTCTAGGTTAAAATATTGTGTAGCCATGGAGTGGATGCTAATACGTTGGAGGAATCTGCTACCTCATCTTAACTTCTACTTAGAATATGAAGGTAATAGATTCCTATGAAATATTTGTAACCACTCACCAAGCTACATGGTGTTGCAATTCAGTAGACTACAATCTAATCTGTGTATTCCACTGAAGTATTCCTTCCCACTTTGTACAATATGTAGAATATAGTGGCAAATGCAAAGTTATTTCATTTCAGTATCTTACATGAAGATAACATATTCTGCCTGAGGGTCACATAAATCTCTAGAAAAAGATGGATGGTTACTGTCTTCTGGGATGTGATGAAAACATCAGTACAGTGATACAGTAAACATCTAGCAGACAAAGTGGTGTCATATTTCAGAAGGCAGTAATCTTCAAGACAGATGGTTGTTTTATTAATTCCCAGTGTTCCTCTGTTGCTCCCACTGTTCTGTTGTGTGTTGTGCAGCATCACAGTCAAGTTCGGTGAGCAGTGTGGCAAGTGGGGGGAGGCGAGCTACTGAGCCATCAACTGTCACAGAAACCCCACGAGGACCATCCATGTTTGGTCGTCAGAGTTCTACAGCCACACAAAACGGAGAAGACACAGAAGATACCATGAAGAATCTAAGAAAAACATTTGCTGGAATTTTTGGAGATATGTAGAGACATTGTTAATAACATTTTTATAACTGTATATAATTTAGAATTGTTTTTAAAAGAAGATGGAGAGAATTTAGGCTGATAATGGAACCCCTTCATATACTGTTTCATTTGAACTGTGTTTTAATGGGAAAATTATTTGTAATGTTCATGTAAGCTTTCAGCAAGGACAAATGTTTGTTTTTCAGAGTATGTTGCAAAGTCCAGTGCATTTTGATATCTGTAAACAGTCTCATATTGTGTACTCTTCTGCAACATTTGATGTACTGAGTTAATATTCTTATATTGCAGTTGATTCATAATATTTTATTACACAAAACACTGCTATATCACATTCATATTTTCAGGGAAAGGTCTTGTCATTGAAATCGTTATGTTGGCCTTAGACCATTATATTCTGGTAGTTGTTTTGGTGAAAACAGTGTATTACATGTCTACTTCTGTACTGAGTGAATATATGCAATAATGAAACCAGGCACAACTGTCATTCAGTTACTGAAATTTCAGTCCCATATATACAATTCTCTGTAATCTAGACTAGGAATATGGAGTGGATTTGTCATATCAATTTCCCTTATGAAAACATCTCTAAATTCATTCTTGCCTGAATATCTCTACAGTTCCCTGTTAAAATATGTATAAAAATTATAATATTTTGGTTCAGATCGTTTCAAATCATTTTATATATTATAACATCACTGAAAAACTTACTAATTACTGTATCCCTAATTTATCTTGCAGGCAAGAAAATTGGGTCAGTAAAACAATTTGTCCAGTGGGCTGTAGATTCCCATGCTTGCTGACCATTCAGCTTATTAAATGATTAAGCATTTCATGTCATAAATGATTCATGTAGCTAAATCTAATGCAATGCAGTTTTTTAAACACTAGATTGGAATAAATAACTTTCTTAGGAGAGCTGTGTTATCAGCCTGAGAACTCCCTTTTTCTTTGCTTCATTTTTGCTGTGGTAGGCTAAAAATGGCTGTGGAATTGTTATTGATGGATGTGTGATAATAAGGCAAACAAGATGTTTCTCTTATCTCATAGAAGAACATGGTAGTGTTTACTGTAATGGATTAATAATTGGGAGAATGTTATAAACAATCAGATCATTGAGAATGGCTATTAAATCAAGAAAGAAAATGATTCCAAATGTCATGGCTGAGTGGTTAAGCACTCCTACATCATACATTGGAGGTCCCTGATTCAAATCTTGGACAGGTTATTGATTATCCTGAGTAAGATTTCTAAGCCATTTCTCGATCCATATTGCTGAATACTGGGACATTATCAGAAAACAGATATTTCCTTCCCTCATTCCTTCCAATATATATAATTTACACTCACACTACAATTTTGCTTTATATAACATTAGCACATTATTAAATAACCAAAGAATCAGTAAATCAAAGAAATCTATATAAATTAAATAATAGAAGGAAAACTACTGTCAAAACACTTACTTGAACCATAACTCACAGGTGTAAGATTGTAAAATCTAAAACAGACTTAGCTGAAGCAACTGAGTGTGTGATGAACCTAGAGTTTGGGTAAAAATATATTTGTGGGGCCTGCATTATTCTTATCCATAAGTTGTACCTCTAACTGCAAATAATATTGTACAGTAACATAAGTTACAACTTTCATGGGTTGAGTTCTTGTGTGCATTTATGTAAAGGTTATAGTGAAATTACAAAGTACGAGTATTCCTTTGCACAAGCATAGTGAAATTTTAGAAGGTGGCACAGAGGCAAAGCTCATGCATCTTGACTTCAGTACAAGATGAAGGTTAAAGAACTGCTTCCTTTACTCCTAACTCCTGTAGTTAATGAATAGGAGCCTTGGAGAAATTCCTGTGTTATTGTGAATATGCTGGCAATATAATTTTTTTATCTATCTTATATATATTGTCATTTGAGGGAATAACTATAGACGGGATTTGGATTGGATATTCAATCTATTGATCACTTATACACATGACTTGGAACTACAAGGAAGTACAGAATCATTGCTAATCTCCACACTTTACAAGTCTTTTCCAGCCCACAGTGTCTTCGCTAGATGTTTCCTGGTGATGACTCCTAACAGTGGAGATTCTTCAGCTTCAAGCACTTGAGTCCTCTCTGAATGGCAACTCCCAAATGCTTCTTTTCTTCACTGATTCCCATACAGAACTGACTTTCAACTGACATCTGATCTCCCAGGCTGGTGTTCTTGTTATATAACCAAGTAGAAAACGCCGGGTCTATGAGTTCCTCTGTTGTTGTAGTTCAACTGTTGCTTGTTAATAATATGCCGCCTAGCAACAGCTGTTGTCTTGTTTGTTTTGTGGTCATTTCCTAGAAATGGGTCTGTGCGCCACAATATATAGTCCTCTACCCCTGTTTCATTACATGATGACACTTCATTATTATGTAGAAGTACTAGAAATACCAAATACTTGTGTTTGGAGGAAAATAGAACAAAATAAATCTGTACTTTGTCATTTACAATATCAGAGAAGCAATATGTTTAGAATGTTGTCATTTCTTCATGGAATATTTCCATTGAGTACAATTTCCTTTATTACTATTTATTATATATGCTTCCAGTAACTAGCTGAGACAATATAGCATTGGATGGTATGAAGATTTGTGAATGATGAATTGGAAAGGATGCAAGAGGAAGCAGTTGATTAGAGATGTCATACCAGCATTTTTGCAGTGAGACTGGGGAAAATGTCAGTCAAAAAATACTTCTCATTTGAACCCTGGATCTTTAAAATACAAAGTAGGAACTGTAACCAACCACTCAACTGTGATGTCTGATACAGTTTTCAATATATCTTTCATTTGTAAAAGTACAGAAGTGTAAATTTATCTTCTGTTGTTAGTTTCAATATATGTGTGATTGAAGCACATAATTGTGAGCAAGCACATTGGACCAATTTTTTTGTTTAATAGTTTATCTTTCCACAGTCCACCATAACCCATCATTGTAGCCAGTAAAATGCCTGACAGTTATGTTTCCCTCATATATGAATGCCTTTCCTTAAGCTATATGAAAGTGAAATGTTTCTCACTCATAAATATTTCATATCAGTTCTCATGCAATACATGGTTTTGTGCATTCTGATAGCCAAATTTTTCTTAATCACTGTTCACAAATTACAGAGACTCACCAAAAATGAGCTTAAAAGTGCTTGTCATTTAAATGCATTTTGAAAACGTTCTTTGAATTTTGCAGTAAATGAAAGTTTTTTCTCAAAATATATTTATTTATTTCTTTACTTCATATCCATGGATCATTATGCGTGATATAGGAGAAAGCATGACATACATAACACACAAAAGACAGTTAAGCAGAAACCTAAAGGGAAAAAGAAAATTTGTCTGGCTTTAGAAAAAGCTGAAACATTTACCGTTAATCTTGTAAACTGCCAGCCTTAGAGTATGCTCAATTAAGTATACTATTCAGTGCTACAATTAAATTTAAAATATTCACCAAATTTTTGCATTAAAACCAGTGTCAGTAAAAATTTCTTTTAGCACTACATACATTTTAAACTGATCAGAACCTGGGGATTTACCTGCAAATACGTGCTTCCTCTTGTATTAAGGCATTTATCATTCTAGTAAATGCCATGTATTCCATCTGATCATTTATTTCAACTGGCATTTGCAGTTGTATTTTATTACAACAACTTGATTGCTATGATCAAGCAGATAGCTTCCTGCTTTGTATATGGGAAATTTATTGTTCAAATTTTGGCTCAAAAGAATTGGTCCTGACAGGTTTTCGTGGATTTCCTCAAACCCCTAGACAAATATTAAATATTACTGAATGACTTGTCCAAGTGTCACTATGTAGCAAACAGATGAAATAAAATACAATACAATAAAATAAACTCAGGATAGTATCTCAAATTAGGCCACGATCACTTCCTTCTACATCCATTCAAATTCATTATTCACTGATTATCCTGACATTTACTGCTACATAATCTGAGCTACTGATAGAGTTATTGAATAAATCAAGAAGAAATAAAGAATAATGCAACACTACACAGAGAGAGAAATACCATGTTTTGCTTATTGACGTATTTGTCATAATAATCCAACCACAAAATTTCATAATATGATTATTTATTATTGTTAAAGAAGGAAGTCCATCGTCTCCTTATGCGTAGTATTCTACACAATACTCTGTTATAATATGATCCATAATTCAAAAGGGCCTTCTGTTTGGACAATAGCTATGAACTAGAGGAATTTAGATAATATTTTGTGCTGCTAATAATTTCAAGATCATTTTCAAATACAGCTATCGAAAGCACATGTAGCATGTACATGTATACATATTGGTGTTTCATATTCTAGATTATGTCAGGCTTCCATGCCAGTATGCCTCAAAGTAAATGAAGAAGGCTGTTAAATTTACTCTTACAAACAAATATTCAGTACTAGAAAATGGGAATTTAATTTTAAGAATTTTCAGTGTAAGTGCGATGTTTGTTGCAAGTAGAAATTTTCCTCTGTTTTGTTATTATTAGATGTTGTTATTGGTATACATGCATAGTACAGGTATGGTTTTGATAGTAAAATTGGTGTTGTCAGGAATGTAAGATTCACGAACACCACCAGTTGCTGAAACTCCATTAACTACTTATGTAAGTTGCATTTTAGTATATGAGTCAGTGTCCTCATAAGTCCAACCCGGTCACTTTACAAAAGTTGACTCTGTTCTTAATTTAAGCTCTATGTCATGTAGACATGGTGGAGTGGACATATAGCTGCATCATTCTTGACCTCAGCAAAATATAAATGTGGGTGGTCAGCTTCAAGCCCCAGCCCCTTTACCCTGGTGAAAGAGCCTCCAGTAACCACTGGATAGGAGGCTGTGGGGGCCTCGTTGCTTTTCTGAGTACTGTAAAGAAAAACCTCTTGTCACGTCTGGTAATTGAACACCAGCCATCTGGCCCATAGCCGTTGCTGTAACAACAGAGCTATCCCGGCTCCTATATAGGAAGTTAAGTCCCAAAATATTGACTAAAAAATACAAAACTTCTATAGCTTATATCAATTTCTAATAATGTAAATTAATAAAAAATTAGAATAATATTTTTTCCCCATTGAAAAATGGAAACAGAAGAATAACAGACATCTTCTGTTTATGCTTTAAATTAAGTTTAAGGTTGAATTGTATGAAACTATGATGCAAAACCTGAAAATTATGCTAGACTTATTATTTGTATTTGAAAACTTCCGCTTTGATACTTGGAAACTATATCTCTTATTGAAATTTTCTATTCTATATTAATATTTTGAATTTCACAGCACTTACGCTTTAATCCTGCATTCAAATTTACACCACGAAACGAAACTGTGTACATGTATGAAATTTATAACTGTACATGCAAGCATTTTCTTCACAGTTTGCAACCTGTTGTGTGTCATAAACATGTATGATTGTCAGTTGTCATCACAACAAATGATTTATAATCAATCAATATTTTACAGACTGAAATTGATTTCCTGCTACATGTTTCGGGTCCTCAAGGGACCATCATCCGGCAGTAATATACAAATAGGTCTATGCTTATTGAACTCCTAATATGGATCCATATTTTGTGAAACGTGTCATACTTATAATACAGATTCTGCCTCAAGTTACAATATAAGTATTAAATTTAAATATAATAAAAGTATACCTAGGAATATGTTAAAATATATCGTATATTGGCTTTATATTAAACTAATTAAGATGTTAAATATTATATATATATATACATATCTCCAGTTTCAAAGTTAAACGCCTCATGTAGTGTAAAATTATATCGTTAAATTTTATTTCATGGATCCATGTTGTTAAGCGTCTACACTGTGGAAAGTCATAGTGCCCAGGGTTATGATGTGTAGATGTATTATGAAAGCTATTGTGAGGGGCTGTTGTGTGTAATACTACGTGCACATGTTCACAGATATAAAGTCCTGTGATATTTGTGGTCGTTAATTATCCATATGCTCTTCCCTGTATGGGTGTAATATGTATGTCATTGTGCCATAGTGAGCCTGAGGATAAATTCAGTTGCACAAAAGAACCCATAATATTTGAATTTACTTTCAAATAACCATAGATTTAGATCATGTGAAAGCCCCATCTCCCCTCTAAATGTCAGTGTGTTGCATTTCATAGCATCACAGCATCATATGCTGTATGAATTGAATACAGTGGGCCAGTCTCTTTGGTTGCAGTGTTTTTATTTCAAGTACCTCGAACTGATCTAATTGATTCTTAGTATGCAATGGGTTAAGATGTCTTTAGGATACATGATAAAATAATATGAAAATTCAAACATTATGAAAAAAATTGATGTTTGTCATCTGTAGAAATAAACCTCAAAAGTAGATCAGATGATATGGCCACACTGAATGAATGAAGGAGGAATTATCAGAGATATTGTATAAATGGAGAACACAAATTAAATCCATTATAGAAGATTGAGTTTTAAAAAAATGGAAACTGGGAGAACAGATCGCTGTGAATACTGAAGACAGCAAACACACAAAGGTGTAATGTCAAGGAGGAAAAGGGGAAGGAGATGTGGAGAAATGAAAAAATTATACAATTATTTTCGGACTATTTTTACATTAATCTCGATGTTATGTATAAATACAAAAATTTCAAATTTTTAAATTCTATAAGATTTCCTTTTAAAATATATTACCTTCCGAATCACTGAAGGAATTTTAAATTGAATGAACACATTTTTATTAGTTTAAAAATCTCAGGATGCTAATGTTGTGCACATTTACAAGACAAATATTTTATTTGGGGAAAAAGTAGGACTTCAGGAAAAACATGGTCAACCCATTTCCTTTTAAGGAAGCATACAATAAATATATTTCATCCTAGAATGGAGACAGTTTCTTTGAATGGTGTACTAATTGCCTGCAGAAATATTCATCTGGATAATTAATAATTTATAATTCCTGCATTTTGTATATACTTTTCCTTTTTCTTGTGTATTTCACATATACTCATGGTACTTCCTTTGATATATTAAGGATTCCAAGACGCAAGAAATGATTCAGGTGTTCTTCCTTAACATTGTTTTACTGAATCTCAAATTTTGAGTAGAAAAAATAAACACCAAATCAATAATTAACCCAACACACCCTGTATTAATACACATTTCCATCTGAGAAATTATTAATGGAGTTTCAGTGACAACATTACATTATGTCAATCATTCATGCTACTTGACTGCCTGCAGTAACTCTGTGTATTAAAAAACTAAATATGCCCCCTCCTCACGGATTAAAATTATTTAACAATTAAGAAATGTATACAAAAGGTGTATTTGTAGAGGTATATAGAATTTCAGAATAAAGTGTCAGTAAATATTTCTTCTCAACTTTTGAAGTATCCTGAGAAAAGGCTTATGTAATGCACACAAGAAGTGAAAATTGATTTGAATAAATTTATACATAAATTTACTTTTGGACATGGAGTTATATAACTAATAACAAGATCAATCTGACTGTGGTCATGCTATAGTATTTGCAAGATTATTCTGTCTCTTTACCATCTTTTGCTTTTAGTTACAAAAGTACAAGCATGTCTTGGAATAAAAGAGATTATTTCTTCTAGTAAAATCAGGCATCTCTATGTGATCATCTATGTGTATAAAATTAAACTTAAAATTAATACAGAACAAAATGTATGTATGTTTGTAAACAGTGCATCTAGTTTCCTTCATTTTCATTGCTTCATAATAGTTGAATGCCTCAGCCTACAATATTTTTCATGCAATGGATATTTTTTTGGAAATGGTACATTACAGTATAACCTATTTAAATTAACTTGGATTAGATAGAAACCTGTCTTTATCAGAAATTTTCTTTAACAACTAGAATATATAGTGAAAAATGACGTAAGTATACATCTAATATGTGGAAACAACTTAATGTGGAAATGGAAAGGAACATAACAGAAAATAATCTGCTTGAATATACACAATTTCTTTATGTGATGTGAAGCTTTCACTGTGAAGAAAGCAGTCTTCTGGGATTTGGCACCGTGTATATNATAGTGATTGCATGTTATGGTGTCTTTTAGGGTGATAGCTATGTGAAGATGGTGGTGGCAGCCATTATTTCAGAGACTATCCCTGTCTTCATCATAAGTGATTTTATATGATGAGTAACATGGCTGCAAACTGCATTTATACTCACAGAGTGTATTCTCAGCTGTTAGTGCGGACTGCTGAGGGAACAGTGGACAAAATCCGTCAGACAGACAGCAATGCCAACTTCCGGTGTTTCACATTGGAGGTATAGTGATAAGATTCTCGCACTCAGGAATCATAAACTATGGTGCTACATTCTGTCATGCTAGGTACTGTCAGGCCTTTACTGTGGTTGGTGTTTCTGTGATGTAGCTGGATTTTAGTGTCTTTCTTTATTAAGTGGTCCATGTAGATTGTTTTACTAGCCAGTACTATTGCACCCTTGAAGTTTATCTGGTTCTTTTGGACACCAAAGGAATGGCTATAATGGCAGGGTACATGGGCTTTTTAGAGATGGAAGCTACCGAGATCAAGGTACACTTTTACAACTTAAACAGGGATATGGAACTCACTCTAAGCTGTATTGTCACAGACATACTTCAACAGAAGGGGGCCATGAGAACAACCATATTCTGTAATGAAGCTCCAACAACAGCTACTGTGGCAATGTGTCCAGTGTGTCATCACTGACCGCCTAATTCTGCCACCAGTCTCTCAGCAGTCTATGTCAGGACAGCTGAGAGCATTCTCTACTAGTACAGGTAAAGTGTGGCCTATGTTGTTTATTGTATCAACCTCTGGTTGAAGTAAAGACCATCTCCAAAATATTTGGTACCAAATCTATCTTTACAGGGCTCATCACCTGAGAAGACTTCATCCCGTTAGTATTTTATGTTTATAAAACTGATCTATACTATACTTTCTGGAATGTGAACAAGAATAGGAAAAAAAAAATTAAATCCTGCCACTGACAAAATATGCGATGAAAGCTTTAATGGACTGCATTCAGATCATATTAGATTACATTATCAGCAGGTTATGCTGTGTATTGAGATTTCAGTCTTTGGGGTTATGACATTGTATAGTCTCATAGGTGGTTGCCAGTATTTAGAAGTCCCTCCATCTGTAGGGCAGAAATGCGGATTAAGGCAGCGGATGCCTCCAAAATGCTGGTAAGACTTTAAAGTGTCATCAGAAGAGTGTAATCTATAAATTCACAGTTATTAAAATCCCAGATCTCATGCAAGTGTTACAATAGCATGACTTCTCTGCAAAGAATGGAATGGGAGTGAAATAATGAGGCATGTGCCTAGGATAAAAAATGTGCAAGAGCACAAATACAGCCAGGGCAAGGGAAAGGAAGTATGATATCTCATAGGAAATAACATGCACTGAACTATGATGGGGGTGGCATCTTGCTAGTATGTAACATACTTGGGATGAACTCAGACCTAGGGCAGGGCACCTACATTGTACTCAGCACATAAGAGCTGTTGCAGAAGTTGGGCAACCAAGACGTTATCCTAGGTGCCAGTATCCAGTGTGATTCTTGATGTGTTAGCTCTGGTGATGACCTCTCTAGTAGCCTAATGGAGACATTTACTTAAATGTGAAATATGTTTCTATTGGTGAATAGTAAGTTAAACATTTGCAAATGGCTGATGCTAAGCAAAAGCGAGGTATTTTAAAGCTTGTATCAATTTGAGGAAGACCATTGCCTATATAATGGTCTGATAGCAGAATCCCAGCAGAAGTTTTGAATATATGGGAGCCTCCTACAGTCAAGCAAGTGTTATCCAATCAGTGCTCAACACAGCAGCTCCAGTGTCCATTGGTTCCTGTGCTGCCTAGCGACAAAAGTATAAAGTAGTGGATGTCCAACACACTAGCATCAGTCATAGCCAGTCATAGCTATGCTTACATCAAGACAACGCTGCAACAGCGTGGCTACTAGTAGCAGCACCAACAGCGGACTCTGCCAGCGATTGCCAATGCTCATCAGGCCAGCCAACCTTGCTGCCACTAGCACCAGCTAGCCCGCTATCACAAGAGCTTCACCTGACCTCCAGAAGATTATTATTATTATTATTATTTGAAGTTCTCAAATATGTGACTATGAGGAATACTGTCTTCTTGGATTTCACACCGTTTAATCTGATAGAAGTTTTCTGATATTTCAGAGGAATGTACTACCTTCAAATTCAGGACTGAAAAGTAAGCTAGACAAGTAGGTTTACTGTACTAGCTGCTTCTTTGGCTTACTCCTGAGCCCTTAAAATGGAGGCAGCATGATTCTCCAAAAAGCTAGTAAAATTATACCAGACTACACGGTGTCACGTTCCATTATTGTTTATTTATTTGTTTCCTTATTTATTTATTATCGTTTTGTTTTTCTTTCTTTTTAGTCGAAGAAAAAATATAACAAAACTTTGGTACCATGCAAGGCATTGTCATGACTTAGAGTTTCAAAACACCCTACGGCACAACACATGGCATGTAAGAAAAGACGGGACAAGGATGAATCAGCTGAAGTGGATATTAATGGGAGCACACAAATGTAGTTAAAGGCAAAATGTCAGTGGCACACATGAAAGGGTAAGTAGAGCCAGGTAAAAGAGTGACTGAGCACCTTTCACCAGGTTCAGGGCTGGAATTTGTGGTAGATGTGGTTACATGATACCTACTTTGTACCACAACTTGTACAAAGCTACTTGAAATATCTGAAGAGATTTACAACAATGAAATGGGTAGGAACGAATCCCCTATAGCTAATGACAGGAAATAGATGCACTACAATGTTACAAGAATTTGTAATTCCCTAGGGTTTTCAGTTGATACTTGAGTGTGCACCTAGTTCTGAAAATAAATTTCTACCTCTGTCTAGATTGCAATACACTTGAGAACATAGAAAGAGCTGATAATATCAAGTAGTGCGTTTGAGGAAACATGAAGAAGGTGAACATTTTAATTGACTCATAAGTTTTTGCTTATAAGAGTCTGAAATTTATAAACCTGTCTCCAGACCCCATGCTAGAACTACTTACAAATTTTGTTATTTATCGATTTCTGTTAGAAATATCTTACAGAGGCCTGAGTAGTATAAAATGAGGATAAAGTGCACCAGTCTGATTCAGTGCTAAAATAATACTCATGTTTGTGAAAATAGATAAATTACATAATTTCACTTAAACAGTGGTTACTAGCAACAATATTTTTGGGCAGTTTTAAAAATTCATTATTTTCTTCAGACATTCAGAAAATTAATTTTAAATGTGTTGGAATATATCTGGTTTAGACTTTGAAACTACAAATCAAATCAGTTTATATTCACTTTCTTTTAGTGAAGCACAATAAATTTCATTTGATATGATGATAATTCCAACAACTGCATTCTACTGAAAATTGTGAATCCTTGCATATGAGTATAAATGGGTTCCATTTAGCACCTGCGTATTTGTCAGTTCTATCAGAAAGTTTATATCATGTTGAGAAAATCTATTTAGTTTGTTTAAATTTCTACCTTAATGCACTTCATGCAGATTGTTTGCTCAGTGTATTGTGTCAGACTTCACTCTTTAAGTAAGAAATTCAATTATCTGATATTAAGACATTTTTACTACATTCAGTTGCTTAAAATTTTAATTAAAAATCAATAATATTTACTGACAATTTAATCTGTACATTGTTTGTAAGACTTGTGTCATGAAATTTGCATTATGTATTACCTATGTAATTTAAATAATGTTATTGATATTGATATTGTTACTTAATCACTGATATATGTATAAATGTTGATGTGTGATATATGAAATAAGTAACACTGCTGCAGTCTCCTTGATCTCTATTACTGCTAATGCTACTACCTATCATCTCTATGACAACTGTTCCAAGGTCCTGAAAAAATGATGCACTAGTCATTATTATGTACAAAGTGAAGAATATTTATAATGTGGTTATTATGTATAATTTACCATATGTGGATGTTACACATAAGATTCATGCTTAGCATAAGGATATTGGATGCAGCTCACTTTGTCTGTGTCATGGTCCCCAAAATTTGTTATGATGCACCTGTCCTTCTGCAACCAGTGCTCCCATCATTAGTCTTACATCCTACTACTCCATTCTCACATGGAGTCCATATTTATAAACAGAAATAATTAGTATACATTTCTCTCACATAATACAGTACTAGTTTCACAAGATTGGACTTTATTCATTTTTTTATTTGGAAAGAAAACTGTGGTAAGTTTTGCCTTATCATAGAATGAAAAATATATTTACTGCTGTTTTACCAGTGCTGTATAGTTTCGATACTGACAGTGTCACTAAATGACAAACTATGAAGAAAAGTAAAACACTGTTTTAAATTAATGTAATATGTAAGACCCCACTTATGTGCTGTAACAGTCTTATTACCAAGTACTTATGTACTTTGTTAATATTATGGATGAATTTATCATTTTTTAGGGAGAACATGGTATGATATTTTAGTAATGTGGGGACACCAAGAGATGCTGGAATAGTGGAATATGGTCTTCCTTCCACAAAACATTGCCTTGCCACTATTACTACTCAGTCATCCACTATTGTTCTCCCAGAGGGAAATCCCTGAAAGCTTTCTAACTATTGTTGAACTTAAATATGTGGGTAGATAATTTTTTAAACAACAGGTGTAAAATGTTTAAAAATGGACATACAGTAGATAATAAACCTCCTCTACTGTAGTACAAATCTAAACAGTACTGGGCCCTCTTTAAGGAGCTTTTATTTTTTATTCTTCTTTATAACACCAGAATTAGAATCTGAATTTTGGTTATCTACTCATTAGGGATTTTTGAAGCCAAACACCGAAAATAAAGCACAGATTGCAATTTCATTTCAAAAGGACTATGCAGTTAAAAAAATCTTTGGGTACTTTATAATATGCTGTATAATCCACATATTGCCATAGAATTTATTGAAAGGAGATTTTATAGATTAATTTTCATTTGTTAAATTATCTAAGCTGTATTGTCAATTTTAATGTTGATAACTTTAACTGAAGTATACATGATAATTATACTACTTGTTGAAATATTACTTGATTTAATTTGTGTGGGCATTGTTGAAGGTGCAACTTCCTGCTGTGCTCATATACTGTTGGTGTGTTATGTTGTCACTCTTTATAAATGTCACTGCTTCAAAAATCTATGAGCATGACAAGAAGTTGTATCTTCAAGACTGTGCATGCCAATTAAATCATTAACCAGTTCAACTGCATTCTAAAGTATGTTATGAAATATTACTTATTCATTTCATAAAAATATCCCTGTTTAAGAATAATTTGTTTTACCAGGTAATTTTACATACAATTCTGTTGTTAATGGAGGAAAATGAACAGTGGCCATCAATTCTTTGGATTCTCTTTTATTTCAAGACTTTATAATTTAACTCTTACATTTAGATATTTTAATTATTAACATTACTTAATCTGAATACCAGCAATATGTCTACAGAAAAGCAGTAATTAATTCTTTGAATGTTCTGTAAAAATATGTTCCAACTTCCCATCCTTTTGCTCATTGAAATAATTTGCTCACATCCATAAAGACGTTGGATAATTTACAAAATATGTGAAACTAGGATGTCAAATAGGTTACATTTCTTATCAAAGAAAAAATGAGGAGGGAGGAGAATCTCAATCCTGTCTGTGCTGTGATGGACTTTCATGACAAATATAGGAGATGTCAGATTTTTTTTTTCTAGGGGTGAGTAGCCAGAAAACTTGCCTACAAACTTACATTTAAGCTATTTAAGATTATTATATCACATATTTTCTCTCAATGTGGTTTCAGTACATCTGTAGAAATTTTTGCACCAGTTTCCTGTAAAATAACTCTGTAACTGCATTAAAGTGAATATGAAAGGAAAAGGAATTATGATATTAATTTATAATATCTACTGTTGTGTGAAAAATTTAACTTCAAAATTCCATATAACATTAACTGGGTTCTCAGGAAGAAAGCAGCCATCCTATTCTTAATATCCATCAGATTCACACAGGTATGAACACGGCACTTTCTTTCCAAAAGCATGTTTGCTGGTACTCTCACCCACTTTTTTGTAGTATCCATCAGATTCATACATGCATGCATGCACGTACGTAAATGCACGCACGTAAATGCACATATGGGCACACAGCAGTCTTCTCTCTAAAAACATGTTTGTTGGTACTCTGATGCTTGGGTTAGGCTTAAGGTCAAAACCTACAATACACAGACAATGAGTAATTTTTTTCTTGATGCCAGCTTGCATCAGTCATATTTTGATGTGCATACCTGCTGGAAATATGTGTTTGTGCTCATGCCCTTTTATTAGAGCAGATTTTCCACACAAATGGTAGCTACTAAGCCTTTGATTTTGGCTTAATAATGCCTTAATAATAGAAAAACATTTTGAAAAAAACAGCAGTTTGTGTAAAACTGAAAGTTAAAGATTAAAGCACAGCAGGCTTGAAAGGTTTTCCAGTATGTTTAGTTAATACTTTTATAGACTACTATGTGGAACATAAATTATTTTAAGACAACGAAGATTTCATGTGGGAGCAAAGTAATCTGGTAAATGGTAACAGTAATCATCACACACACTTTATAAAACTTAATTTAAAGAAAATTAATAATTTATAGTTTACTTTATCATTCCTTTCATCTTGTTCCAAACTAGATGTGAAAATTTGAGTTAATGTTAAAAAGATCACTGCACTTGGAATTTTTAGTAAGGAAACAATTTTCCTTCATGGGCAACATCATGACTAAGTTATAGCTTTTGCCATTATTTATTTATCCTTTTTGTTTTAAGCATATTTACTGCTAAACTATATGAACTACATTCTTCTGACTCATACTGTTACAAAATCACATATTTCATCTCTTGTGTGCTGTAGCTTGAGAGGGATTTATGCAGAAAACTTGTTATATCAGTACCCCTTCCTCTAAGTAGACCAGAAGGAAGAATAAATCCTACCACACAGTTGAGCTGGTAATCATTTACACTATTACAAGCAGTGCTATATTACATCCAGGTTTTTGATAAAATTACAGAATCAATTAAAACCAGTAAACTCTTTAATAATTTTAGTGTGAATCATTATTGGTCATTATTTGTAGTGTGATACATAAACTGTAACTATTGAGCGTAGGTATCTTACAACAAGAGGTATAAATTGTTTTTGAGATAAACCTATAAGAAGAATTAAAAAACTATTTGCTATTAGTGTATTTATGCACGGCCAAATTTGCAATGTTGCATTTGCATTGTTGCCTGAAGAATATTGTACGCCTTGAATGGAACAATACTGGTATCATGTCTCTGTAAGTGGTGTATGTATGTGAGTTATGAAATGTTAATCTGATTCATGAGGCTATTAATATCTCATATTTATACAGTGTTAACATTTAAACCTTCTTCAGTACATTTCAAATTATAAATATTCCTTGTGAGGCTCTGAGGTTCCCAACTCTTTCTGTTAATTTTCATCTAGATATAAATTATTTATCATAGATGTGATATTCCTTTGTTTAGGATAAAGAATATACCTCTTTCTGGAGAATGTGGAAGATGGACTATTTGAAAGACTCAGTGATGGATGGAGTTAAACTTAGTGTTGTATTTTGATTTTAATTCTTTGGAGTGGAATCAGTTATAAGAAAATAATATGCTGATCCTTAACACAGTACATACCAGCATGTTGTGGTTCACAGGCATCTAAAGCTGTTCTCTCTGAAATCGTCTTGATACATTTTGTAAACGAAAACATGTCCTCTTTTTATTTATTTGTTATTTTTTACAGTTTCAGTCTAGCAGAAGATTGTCTGCTAATCTCTCAAAGCACATATTCTTATGTGATGCAAATGAACAAAATGGAACATAAAATCTAAAAGTCCAAGATGTTGGTATATTAATACAATTGTAGCCACTACTAATAATTTATTAACTGTTATCAATTTCTTTATCTGAAATGTCTGACAATATGTCAATACAACCCTTTGCAACAATTTCTTCTCCACCCAGCACTGCATTGGTATTCTTTTCAGCAGACATATTCATGTACAGTAGATCAGGAACTGTTGTAATTGTAAGCATTAGTTAGCTGATGTGTCCTGTCTAAACTGAGGCTAACCCTGGTTGCATGTGCTGCAGCAAAGTAAGCGCACAAGACCTAAACCATTCAGATATATGAGGAAGGAGTTCTTCCTGACTAATACTCTTTGCTCCAGTAATTGTTTATTGTGATGTATGTGCTAACAACAAAGATTTAAGAACTGATAGTTGATGTCAAACCTGCAAATTTCACAGCACTATGCAAGTAATGTATTTATTTTCTTTTGTGATGGCAAATTTTTGCAGTTGGTAGTTTGCAGTGTTTCAGAAACTTTAGAACCTTCATTTTCAAGGCCGAAATTACTGACAGCTGATCCGTTTCTCATATTTATAGTTCTGTACCATGTGTCTGAGGAATCTTTTTCTGTTCAGTTTCTATAGCTGCATGGCAAAAAATAATATCATTTATGAATAAGGCATCCTGAAAATGGAGACAGCAATTTCTTTTTTTAATGCTGGCAAACCACTCTACCTTAACATGACGGCAATACCGAGAAAGAAATTAAAAAGAATACATATAAGTGAACTACTTTTAAGACCCAAAGATCTGCCTTTGTTAGTTCCTTGTCCTGTGAATTATTTTGTTTTATCACTACATTTTCCGATTCTTCTGAAGATGATACTTATTTTTATGTGAAGAAGACATTCATCATTTTAAAGCATCTTTTGGCTGTCTTTAGTTTTCATATACCATACTGTATCCCATTGGATGAAAACTGAAACTTACACAGGGATTGTATGCTCTTTGAAAGATTTCATGTTATACATACTTATACATCCAGGCAATAATCTTCCTCTCCTACAAGAGATATCCAGAGCAAGTCAAATGTTGGGAAATTTATTTGATATGATGTCCTTTATTGCTGTATTTTGCCTGACTTTCAGTTTTATTAATCTTGTTATAATGAAATCTTTTAAAAATTAAATCACAGAACACTGTGTGAAGTTAAATAAAATGGCTGGAGTTGAGTGACATTTCAGATGTATGGTTTATTAAATCAACTACGTACACTTTCTGTTTCAGCCTCTTAGGAACATACTGAACATTTTGAACATGTCCAGGAAGTCCCAGATTGAAATTTTGCTTAGCAACCCACTCTTCTGAGGTTCATCATGGTTTTATTCAGCCCGTCCAGACACAGTGATGGGATAACACCTGAAAACTGGCTTTGACCACTTCCTCCACAACCTCCCATTCACCACTATATAACCAATACACATAAAAAATGTCATTAAGTAAACAAACTCGGTCAGTCAGTATTATATACCTTAAACGTTATAATTTTGTATTGTTCAGTAGCAAAGAATTACATTTAATAGTATACATTATTCAAACAAAAAAGATAACTGATTCAAGGAAGTCTAAAACCAATTTAAAGTTTATTTATAGATCCTCTATATAGTGGCAACCTATTCTGATAACTATAATGAACGGATGTTCGGATTTTATGAAAGCAGGAAATTTCTTGGCCCAGATAATGACAATCATCTGTTCAAGTAAGATCAAGTACCATCGAGTTATTTGAAGTTAGGTTTCAGAGACTAATATCTGTGCCTACTTCTACATACAGTCCAGTCCTGGAAACATATGGAACAATATTTGCATTCTATATACAATGCTTCCATGTTAAGTGGTTCTTTGTCATTATGGCATGGTGCATTCTCAGGTTGTGGATGGAGAAGGTGACCTCCAGATATAGAGGTTGATTGCAAATATGTCGAATAAACATCCACAGACAACAAGGGCTTTAGACTTAGATGACCCTTTGAAAGAACCTAAGTGGCAGAAAGTGAGCATGTGATTATTAAAGAAATAGGATGGGAGAGAGGGGACTGGATTTATGTGACTTGGGGGTGGGAACCAATGGCAGGCTCTTGTGAATATGGCAATGACCATTCAGTTTCCATAAAATGTAAGGAATTTCTTGACTAGACGAGTGACTGTTAGCTTCTAAAGAAAGATTCATACACTTATTTCATGTATTCACAACAGAAATTAATAATTACATTTTTTATAATCATTGTACAGTTTTAGCTTGACTACCAGATTTTTCACTTAAAAAAAATCCATTCCAGACTTCAAGACAAGTGATATTCAGCCCACAAATTCCTCTGGTAGGTATTATTTCCATTCTGAAGTTGCAATTCATGAATATATTATGTGTAAATATGTAATATATGCTTCGCATCAAAAACTAGAAAGATGTGGAGCTGAAATTTCCAGTCCTGAAGAAACTGAACAATTACTCATTTATAACATTTATTTAGTTTCAGTTTATACTTTATCTACTATTAAATATGAAGATATGTGTCGATATTATCTAGTGCTCAGTTTTATAATGGACATTACAATGAACAATTTAGTTGAAATTTCAGTAGTAATAGAATAGCAACAGAGTTATATTTTATATATTTGCTACAAGTAATGCATATATAGCTTTAATGGGAGTATGTCATTTATCTATGCATTTGGTTCTTCTGTGTAAGAACAGAGTGTTTAAGGAAGATTATTTTCTTTTGGAATATGATGCCATGTAATCTGGTCTGTTTACTGTTTCAAAGTAAGGTGCAGCTTCCATCGTGGGAAATGGTGATCTTCATAGTTACTGCCTTAAAAACCTTAAATCTCACACAGTTGACATCTTTCTCTCCAGTTTTAATAGATTCCCCATTCTTTTATTGTATATAATAACTATCAGTATTGTAGCCCCCTTTCTTCACATTCTTTCCTTCTTTATAAATTCCTTCTAAGCACAGTTTTTTAATCTCCCAAATAACATCTTGCAGTTTTTGTCCAAGAATCCTGTTGTCATATATACCATCGGGTGCAAACTACATCAAGGCCCTAATCCATTGAGGGCCCCTTTTGGCTTTTAACCAACTCAGATTTAACTTCAAGCTAGAAAATGGTCTGTAGAAATCAACAGTAAACTGAAAATATTAATACAGAAGTCCTTTTCGTTATAACTAATTCAACAGAAAGCCATTCTTTATTAGCATAAATACAAGAATAACTTAGAATGGAATTATTGAGAAGAAATAGCAAAGTTTAGATGTATGTTATAATAGACACTGATATGATTCATGCATATTTAGGCTATAATTCTATTACCATTAAAGGCAACCTTGAGCATTGAATCTAGGGTTACTTATGAAGAAAGTCGTCTTCTGGGTTTAGGCGCCGTGTATTCTTTGTTTTGGCCAAAACGAAGAATACATGGCGCCTAAACCCAGAAGACGACTTTCTTCATAGTCATCGCCGTGAAAACCTCAAAATTTACAAGGGTTACTTATGTTTACAGAAACTCCTGTATATTTTGAAATATATAAGAAAGACATAAAGAAATTGAGAGTAGAGTGAAATGCACTGATGTGACAGAATATGGGACGCATTGTTTTACCATTGTATTCAAAATATTAATACTGAATGGGGAATTTTCTGTTGATTTCCACACACATTCGTGTGTCAGAAACAGTCCCTAACAGTACACAGTCTTATATTGTCGTTTACTTCCTAAAACTGCCAATGCTCCACAAGTTTGAATTCTGTAGTACTGTATGACAACTGAACTACCTCAAACAAGCAATGGATTTCAATATTTCTCCATATTTTGTTTAAAATAGTTTTTTATACAAACAACATGGCCCTCTGCCCCAGAAAACCAATCGTGACCCACATTTTAGGAATCTCTTGTCTATACAATTCTTCCTCTTTGCACATTTAACAGATGATTCCCTGTGCCTTCACTCGCATGCCAGTGGCAAATCTGTGTATTGGGTGTTGTATTGCAAACAAAACTTAATATATATGCTACTAGAAATATATTTTGGAACTTGGATACTGTCACTTCAAAGCTTACCTGTTGAGACCTAGTGATATATAAGCTCCTAGTCAGCTACTAATGCAATCCGTGCAAGGTGTCTGGCTGCTGATCGGATAAATGATGGGGATGTGCGATGGACTGTTAGTCATCACAGGGAAAGGTAGTCAGATATCCATCCCATTCTACCATATTCTAAAATTATTACTCAAAATATGGGCCAAAACAATGAAAGTAAAAAGGTAAAAGGTAAAGTTGTCCCTGTGTTTAACTGATTAAGCACTATGCCACGAAGGTGTATTGGGGAGTGGGTGTATACATCCACATTTTTTTGACCTTGGCACTAGCTGGAGGAGAGTGGTCAGCTTCACTCCCTGGCTGCTTTAGCCCCAGGCAAAGTGTGCCCCTGTTCTCATTGCATAAGAGGCTGGGTGAGCCTCAGAGCCAGTCTGCATGATGTGGAGAAGAGAAAATTCTTGACCTTACCGGGACTCGAAATCCGAACCCTCAGCTGTCCATCTCATAGCCAGTCGCTGTACTGACTACGCCACCCCAGCTCTGAAAGTAGTGTACATAAATATGGGTCCAGAAATGCCTTGGCAATGAATACAGCCATTCAAAGGTGTTCTGGCAGCAGTAGGATTATGGCAGTGGTTACAAAAGTAATATGGTAGGGACACTATCCAAGGAAGGAAATTGGAGTGTAGAATGCACAGTGTAAATAACTATGTGCCTTATATCACTACCACCTTCCCCATTCAACAATGAAGCACAGATGTCATGGTGTTTCCTGGAAACAGTAGGATAGCAGAACTTCAGTTGCAAATGTAGCTTTAATGTCATAGGATAGTACACCTTGGGTTAGACATTTGCCAGACAAATGTTATTAACAGCAACAAAATCCCTATTACTTCTTAATAATGCAAAAATTGACTACAAATGTAATGTTACTTCACCAAGAATTAGCGCATTTTTTCATATTCTTGGAATCTGTAGTTGTCCATTTTAATCATGGACTTACAAAACACCTTCAACACTGACAGAACAACACTTGACAGTCTACTGCAAATGAATGCATGATACCCCATGTTGATGTTGTCAACTTACTATGACTGTAAAGATGACAACTGTGTGTTTTGTTGTTGAATGGAGAAGGTGGTAGTGATAAAAGATGAGCAGTCATTCACATCATCAACTCTGAACTCCAATTTCCTTCAAAAGTGTCTCTAGCATGTTACATTGTAACCACAGTTCTAATCCTACTGTTGCCAGGACACTTTTGAATGGTTCTAGTTCATTACTGAAGCATTTCCAGACCCATGGTTACACAAACTATTTTTGTTGTTTTGGCCATAGTATTTGCCATCCAATTTTCTCTACTTATTTTTCAGCATTACTGTGTTCAAAAGATAAAAGGATGTGAAACATTTTTGGATTCACATAAAAAGAGTCAAATACACACAAGATTCAAATTTAAAAAAATTGGAGTTTATTTACATTTATTTATTCATACATGCACATACAACGACTCATACAGTATTCATAAATTTTAAAGCTGGAATGTATTTACTCAGTCACAAGCACATCTATGCCAGTCAATCATTACATAATTAAACACAAAACAAAGAATTCCAGTATTAAATGTTACATACAAATTTATTTACTCCTATGCACAGAAAACAATTAGGGAAAATATTTAACACTGGTAACATACATGTAACTCTCACTGCATTATTCCTCTGCAGCACTACACTCCAGGACTTTGTGCTGTATTCAAAGATATTATGGTAGAATATGAGCCCTATGTAACCACAAATGGACAAGAAATATAGGCATCCTGATTATAAAAGCAAAAATTGTGCATAGATAAGAAGGCCTACCAAAAAAATAACCACTGACCAGGATGGTAATTTTATCTAATAGGCTGTGGATCCATTACAGTGTTCAGGGAGTAATTTCTATACATTCCACTTTTTGCCAAGTCATTGCTAAACTTCTGTGACATCGGATAGAAAACAGTGGGAACTGTGTGAATAGTAGGTGGATACCACCCATAATCCGATGATGTTGTGCGATAAAATGGATGTTGAGGAGGTCGTCGTTGGCAGCCATAACCAGTGAACCAATCTGTCGATAACAATTAGAACAGAAAATTAAAT